TTGAACAGGTTTTTTGGCCCGCGGGCTTAACCTTGGGCTAAAAAGCCCGGCCTGCATAAAATTCGAGCCGGGCTCGGGCTTTGCCAAAATAGCCCGGCCCGACCTATAGTTAAACCTAAGTAAAAACCCTATGTGATGTCCATTTGAATAAATTTTTTGACTTAAGAAGGTTGTTGATTCACTTGTAGACCCATTATTCATTTAAATTGGGGAAAAAAACATCTGAATTAAAATAGATAATGTCCATTTGAATAGGGAAAAATTCGAATTTCTTTTATTAGGTCGGGCTTCGGGCTTTTTATCAGGGCCGGGCTTGGGCTCGGGCCTAACAAACATTTTTCTGCTAATAAAGAGTAAAAGCCCGGCCCGAGCTGGCCCATTAACAGGTCTACTCCCAAGGCAAGGTCAAGTATAAATAGGGGTGCCTCCTCTCTAGGTAAACCATCTTGCTCACTTTTGCTCTTTAACTCTTTTGCTCTCGAGTGACTTCGTTTTATCTCTCACCTTGGACCTTGTCCAATCCCGAATACACGCTTGACTAACTTGACTGTCGGAGTCTTCGCACTTGGGACAACACTCGGGGCCTTTGACTTGCTCTCTTATTCTCAGATTGGACATATCAGCCTCGGCTAAAGAAGCAGATTTACCTTATTGCCCTTGGCCCATCCTTGGCAACAACAGTTTTAAAACAATTTTGATTCAGATAGCTGGACCATTCAGCCCCAAAACCAGTTGAGGTAGAGGTTTTATTTCATCTCTAAACTGTTATTTTTCCAAAAAACAGTTGAATTAATCAGCAACCTGGTGATTTGAGCGATCGAATCATTGGCCCATTGAACCCGGGCAATGGTTTATGTGCTAATTTTGTTATTTTAATTATTTTTTGAACAACGGGACTGATTCGTTTAGATTACAGTCAAACTGTTGACCTGGAAACTAATGGAAAGGCTCCTGTTCCGATCGGTTTTTAAAACACTCTTGCCTCTTTTTGGTTATTTATTTATTTTCAATAGGGCTGTCCATGTGTTAGGCAAACCAGACCGGAAAGATCCAACTCAACCAATCTGAGTTTTCATTAAACGCAATAGTTATAATTTGGTTTATTAGATCGATTTTGGTTGTTCTGAACCAATGAAAACCTAAATTTAGCAAGGACATTTTAGAAAGTTGCAACAAAGGAAACGGGCTTAAAGGAATTAATAAATTTAGAAGGATAATGCTTGAAAAACCAAAAGTCGATCATGGACGAAAACAGAGAGAATGAACTCTCTTTTTTATATAGTACTAGAATAGTAACAATAACACAACTAAATGTGAATAAGAACTTATTAAACAATACAATATTAGCACACATACATCTTGAGACAAATATATATGCATCTAAAGGTCCATCTTGAGGCAAATATATATGCACCTAATTCAATAAAATTTCATTATTAAACCAAAACACTAATTGATCAAAATTAATTGAATTACAAAAAAAAAAAAAAAAAACATAAAATCTACTTATAAAACATATAAGTCTAAACCTGATTTCGTTACATATGTTGTTAAATCGAAAACCCTAATTAAAATTAATAGAATAATAATAACAAAAAGATTTCATAAAAAGAAGTAATGTAGTTAAAACCTATGGCATTTATAGTTAAAAACTAACTGATTATCAGAGAACGAGAATAATAGAGATTAGAAACAACCTCTTGTATGGGAAAAGCACAACATTGCTGAGAAGGATTTTGGCATGCTTTCTCCTTCAATATTCATTACCGCAAAAGCTTTGATTATCAATGAAACCCAAGAACTGAAACACATGGAGTTCCATCTTCAACGAGAATAATTTTCTGCTATTTGCTTTTTCTATGGCTTTTATACAGGATAATATTGTAAATACAAAATCAGGCTCATTTGTCAATATATACAAAACAGAAGCTTGTTACTTGGCAGGGGTAGTATTGGAAAAGGGAAATCAGGGTCTTGGACCATTGTACTTGCTCCATTCTCATATTTATAAATGGTGGTCAATAGATATAGAGGTTTTGAAAAAAAAAAGCTTTTTAGAGTTAAGATAAGACAATTAAGGTCCATTTGATCTGCATTTGGAATCGGAATTGAAAATTTTTGGAATCAGAATCAGAATCTTTTATTCCCATAGACTGTTTGGTTTAGACAATAATGGGAATGAGAATTAAAATTAGCAGAAATGAGATTCCATTCCCAAAGGAGGGGCAGGGAATGGCCATTCTATCAAATGGGGGAATGCCATTCCGCAGAAATGGGAATGGAATTCCGATTCCACCCAACCAAACAGTTGGAATCGAAATAGCCTATTCTGATTCCGATTTTAGACCCCTCTGTTCCTGCAAACCAAACATGGCCTAAAAAAAGGTATTGTTTTTTTTATTTTTTTATTTTCAGATTTCATATTTCAATTTTATCAAATGCCACCTCACACACACACCTTTGGTATTACTAAGACATCCCCTATAAGAGGTGATCATTTTCATACCAACCTAAACCAGAAATTCTATGCTTGGGCATAGGTTTTGTGTTAAGCCTAGTTCAGCCCACAATATTTACATATTATTGTTTTTATATTTATATACGTTATTCATGCTATATTTTTTATTATATATATGAATATTATAATAAGACACTTATATATTATATAATATATAAATTAATTCTATACACATATTATATGGCATAAAATATAAATCATTATATATTTAATTTTTTTTATGCATAAAAGTCATCGGCTTGGAATCAAAAGTATTTGTATATCCGTTTGGGAATGGTAAACCTCTAAAAATTCCCATATTAGAAATAAAATCCTCCCCACATTATTTTATTTTATTTAAAAAACACAACAAAAAATATCAAGAAAAAACAAAGAAACAAAAATTAAAGCAAAATAAGGAAAATAAGAGAAATAAAAATAAAAATAAAAATTAAATAGACAATAATAGAAGAAAACATTTTTATTGTCCACTTTTGACTTGGTTATTTCTTTTCTTATAATTATTTTTGATTGATTAGAAATTAGGTTAAAAATGTCATTTTAGACTGCATATGTTCAAGTTCTTTGTTTTTTTTTTTTTAATATTTGGTGATACGCACTAATAACCCTGTTTTCCCAAATTGGTGATTGTAGGAATCTTTTCCACGTCATAATGGAGTGAACCGGCTAACATACCAACGAACCATCCCTCGTTTGGTTATACGTAACTACTGTTGGTTTAACCAACCATACATACCTCTTGGTTGCCTTTGCTTACGAACAGTTGACACTTGACAGTTGTCATTAAACTCTTCCTTATTACGATTTACACCGCCGCCTTCGTTTCAATCCAGTAATCTCTCTCCCCTCTTTCTGTGGAAAAAATAGCCGCGAGCCTCATTCCATCTATACCTATATATAAATACAATAGCTCGACTTTATTTTTTTTTTACCTCCCACCAACTGGTTCGTGGTTCCACTTCCACTCATCGAGCTTTAGAGAGCACCTAAATTTCCAAAATCCATACACTTGTCTGCCCTGCGATTCCCTCACCTGGATTTCATTTATCGTGATTCAAGTTTTCTAACTTAGGTTTCTAACATCTCTATTGATTTTCAGTGTTCTATCGTTTTATTGATATTCTGGGAATCACAAATGTCGGAGAAGTTCTCGCCGACTCTGCGGATCGGCGATCTCAATGATTTTATCGCTCCGTCGCAAGCTTGCATTGTTTCTCAGAAGGGTCTGATACTGACGAAGCGGGAGAAAACAGAGGTAACGATTTTAGCTAACATACAGTGTGCTTTTTCTTTATTGATCCTTGCTTTGGTGGAGCTCGCCCTATGTATTTAGACACAGAAAACTGAAGTAATAATGATCTAAATCTTAAAAAAGGTTATGCTTCTTATTCAACGTTTTGTAGCTTTAACAAATACTGCTCCAGAGTCCAGGCTCCAGGGTTATGGCGTTGAATTCAATCGAAATTGGTAATTTTGAGTAACGTTTGTTCTCTCGGTTCGAAGTTTAGATAGAGCTCCCTTTGCAACCCTCTCTTCCCCCTCCCTGCTTCTCCCGATTAAAAGGTGTATTGTTTTTTTTTTGTGTTAATTTCAAAATATAAAGAGCACAATAAATGCTCTATAATGTGTTGCACAACGGATGTATGTAATAATTGGCTACCGCGGTTAAATTTCGTTGGGTTGTAGAAAAGGCTGAGGAACCATGTATATTGAGAATGTACACCTAAACATTGTATTCTAAATAAAACTGTAAATTGTGATACTTTAAGAGCTTACAAAAAGATTAGCAAAATAAAAAAAAGAGCTATAGTTCCTTCCTTTAAAGAGTTTGTGATTCTCTGGCCCCAAGAACATCATTCGTGATATTCTCCTAACTACCTCTTCCTTGAGTCTTGTTTGTTCTCAAGAGGCTAGCATTCTTTTCTTCCCAATTTGCCTAAAAGACAGACTGCAGTTAAGGCATAAGTACATTGCAATGCTACTTTATCTCTCCCGGTCAAACCCTTTTAAGTACTAGCTTCCTAGAAAGTCCTTTATAGATTCCGGGAAACATCCTTTGCCTGCAAACAACTGTAGTATTTTCATCCAGACCTTGTAAGCAAAATCACAGTGCAGCAACAAGCGGTTTACTGTTTCCTCACACCTGTTACACATTATACAACCCAAGTCCTCCACTTCTATACCCATCCTTATCAGATTATCCAGTGTCAATGTTCTGTCCATAATAAAAATCCATACAAAAAAGCATCACTCTGGAAGGAACAGCTGCACACCACATTCTTGAACTTGGAAACTCCGCATCAGTACCTCTTGTCAAATTTCTATAGGACTTCACCGAGAAGGTACCTGATTACTCCCAGACCCAAGTCCTCCTGTCAACCCTTTTCCTGTTCAATCTCATATTATATAGTTTATGTAGCAGGTCCATCTAAGATACCACCTCCACCTCCCAATCATTCAAATTTCTACAGAATTATGGGCCCCAAACCATTTCATTGTTTTGTATCACTAAATTTTCAGCCACCCTTGCTTCCATATTACAAGCTATTTTTCAAAAAGTATTGGATGCGACTCCATGGCCGTGAGAGGACTTATAATTGGAATAAGGGAATTAAGCCAAGCAGATATGGTCAGGTTTTCAGCAGCATTGGATTGTCAGATTGGGAACCTACCTTTCACATACTTGGTCCTTCCGGTTGGAGCTAAATTGACATCTATCAATATTTTGAGACCCCTCATAGACAGAGTGGAGATGAGACCGGCAAAATGGAAGGCAAATATCTTTCTCTGGGTGGCAGAATCACACTTATTAAGGGTGTCTGTTGAGGGCCCAGGAATAGGATCTCGTCACGGGTCGGTCCACGGGGAAAACCTCCCGTTTTCCCTTGTTCCTTCCTGCTCKTGATGAACCTATCTTGGCGCCTTTGGTGATTTGTCCAAGAGATCACCAACTCTCCTAACTCACTCTTGACTGAATAATTTGATATCTCATTCAATAATGGGGTCTCCTTAAATAAGAGATTACAAGAGTCCTAATCAAGGGGAGTCTCCTTGCTGAAT